CTTTAGTCTAAGCACTGCATGATGCCATGAGGTGAGGGTGTCAGCAGAGCTGTAGAAGCTGCAGATTTTAGGTTTGACAAAGCTGTCTCTGCTGCTGTGAGAGGATGGACTCCAGGTGGCTGAGCGTGGAGAGCAGCAGGAACAGGAGAGAGCAGGGAGCCTGGATTCGATGAGGAGGGACAGAAGGAAGCTCATCCAGGATGTACTTGGAAGTAGGGACTAATCAGGTGTCAGGGGCTGAGTAAATGGCAGCACTGTCCGAGGTGGGAGGGCCAAGACTTGAGTCATGGAAGTGCTCGGTGTGAGGTCCATTGGGCTGTCAGAACAGCAGTTGGCATTCCAGAGGGGTCAGGGTTAGCGCTAAAAGCTGGGGACCCCCACAGATGGGATTTCATCTGGGACTGTGGATGACACCACTTAAGGTGGCAACAGAACAGAATGGAGAGGAGAAAGGGCCCAGCTCCCAGGGACCCTGCTGGTGGTTAATGGCACATGTTGAATGAACCAAGGTCCTAGCATGCAGCACCGACACAGCCCACAGCTGACATTGGTGGGTGGCTGGTGCTGCTGACCTCATCCTTATTCCTGGGGCAAATTAGGGGAGGGCAGTGGGTGCTCCCACCTGTCTCCTGGCAAAGTCTTCCCCAGGGTGGAAAAACCTGTGAAGGCCAGCGCTCATTCACCCTTCCTTCCCCCTCACTTCCTCTTCCTTCTCTTCCTCCTCCTCCCGGGGCAGGTCCTAGAGCTGCTGAAGGTGGCCTGGAAGAGGCGACTGATCTTCACGGTGGGGACGTCCAGCACCACAGGCGAGACGGACACGGTGGTGTGGAACGAGATCCATCACAAGACAGAGATGGACCGCAACGTGACAGGCCATGGCTACCCCGACCCCAACTACCTGCAGAATGTGCTGGCTGAGCTGGCTGCCCAGGGAGTGACCGAGGACTGCCTGGAGCAGCAGTGACCACCAGCTAGCAGCCAGCCGCCCATCCCCACTGCCGGCTGGGCTGCTCTTGAGATGGACCGGCAGGAAGGTGCTTTCCGCAGGAGCTGGCATGTTTATGGGGGGTGGGCATTTTCCACCGAAGCTGGGGCCTCTCCTGTTTGCCTTTCCTCCTTCCTCTTCCCCTCCAGGCCTGGATTTGCATGGGAATCCGCAAGCCTGGGGAGTTGTACTTGTGGGGGCTTAAGATGCAGCTACCTCAGTGCTGGGGACCTGGCATGGGCTGAGGAGAGACTGCCCCACCCCTAGCCAGGGGCAGGCATGGGTCTGGGTCAGCTTCTCATACCTCAGATGTTCTGTTTGCAATAAATGTCCAATAGCCAAAGTCAGCAGGCCCTAGTGTGTTTGTCAGTGGAGAGGATGTGTGTGTATACGTGCACACGCGTGCATGTGCGTATGAGATGTATGAAGGCCCGCGCACACGTGTCCTGCTGGAAAGGACCTATGGCCATTCAACTCCCATTTCCTAAATGAAGGAACAGGCTGCAGTGAGCCAGAGAGCCCATGCACTGACCTGTGCTGCTTCCCCATCCCCCACTCCAGTCCTTGCACTGTGGAGTCCAGCAACTCTGAGCCTCCCCAAGTTCTGGGGAGCACTGCTCATAGGAGGCAGGTGCTGCTGCCTCCATTTTCAGATGGTGAAACTGAGGTTCAAGGATATAGTGACTGGCCCAAGGTCCCAGCTAGTGGTAGAGCCAGAGCTGGAATCTGGGACAGGATTGGTCTGATATCCTCAAAGTCATAATCCTTCTGAACCCTTTCAGAAAGAGGATCAAATACTCTCAGACTCGCTGTCTGCCGGGGGTGGGGTGGGGTGGAGTGCTTGTGGCCTGAGCCTGGAGGCGCACACAGCCGCACTTGGGCCAGGGCCAATTTTGCCTTTGTGGATCCTTCCTTTATAAGAAAAATGTTAGCCTTGGCCAGGTGGAGTGTCGTCCTATACACCAAAATCTTGTGGGTTTGATTCCCAGTCGAGGGACATACTTAGGTTGTGGGTTTCTCCCTCTAAAATCAATAAAACCGTATCCTTGGGTGAGGATTAAAAGAAGAAGAAAAATTGTGCCCGACTGGCGTGTCTCAATGGTTGAGCATCAACCTTGAACCTATTCCCAGTCAGGGCACATGCCTGGATTGTGGGCTCGATCCGCAGTGTGGGCCGTGCAGGAGGCAGCCAATCAATGATTCTCTGTCATCATTGATGTTTCTCTCTCTCCCTCTCCCTTTCTCTCTGAAATCAATAAAAATGTGTTTTAAAAAAGAAGAAAAGTTAAATTCTGTTTTGTGATGTGTTGATATAAAGATGAAAATATGTTTGAGCATTTTCTTCCATTTAGAAGTTTATTTTGTTCCCTTCTGATTTTAAAAGAAACTAGGACTTTTCCTGGGCCCCTGAATGTATTGTGGGCCCTGGGCACTGCCCATGAGCCTAATGGGGAGCTGGTCCTAGGGAGGCCTGGCTGCCCCCCAACCTGTTTGGTTCCACAGTGAGACCCACTCCACAGGCTCACAGGGCTCGGGAGCTGGGTGGGCACCTGCGTGCCGCTGCCCTCTTGACTCCCACCATTAAAGTGTAATGAGAATCCGAAGGGGAGAACGTTTGCAAATCATCTACCTGATAAGGGTCTAGTACCCAGACTGCATAAGGAACTCAACAAGAAGAAAAATACCTTTTTTTAAAAAGAAAAAAAAAAAAGCCAAGGACTTTTCTCCAAAGAAGATATGCAGATGGCTGACAGGCACATGAAAAACGTTCAGTGTCATCAGAGAAACAAAACCACAAAGGGATACCATGTCAAGCCCAATGAGAATGGTTATTGCAAAGAAAAGGGAAAACAGCAAATGCTGATGAGGACGTGGAGAAACCGGAGCCCTTTGCTGCTGGTGGATGTGAAATGCAGCTGCTTTGGCGAACGGTGGGGCAGTTCCTCAGAAAGTGGTTGCCATGTGACTCAGCCATCCCGCTCCTAGGTTCACATCCAAGCACTGAAAACATGTCCAAACCAAAGCTTGTTCACGAGTGTTCCTGGCAGCATTATTCATAATAGCCCAAAGGTGGGGAAACCCAACTGCTCAGCTGATGAATGGCGAAACTAAATGTGGTCTGTCCATACCGTGGAATGATCCTTAGCCATAAAAATGAAGGACTGACCTACGGCAGCATGGATGAACCTTGAAAACATGATACCAAGTGAAGCCAGACATGAGAGGCCGCATCCTGTGTGATTTCATTATGTGAAATGTCCGGAATAGGCAAATCCAGGCAGAAAGTGGGAGTGGTTCCCCGAGGGGAGGGAGGGGGAGTGACTTTTCATGGGTACTGTGTTTCTTCTTGAAACGAAAAATTTCTGGAATTAATGTTGATTGCACAACCTTGTTAATATACTAAAAACCAGTTAGCTGTGCACTTTAAAAGGGTGAATTTTATAATATACTAGCCGCCCAGTACACAAAATTCATGCACATTAAAAGGGAATTAATTAGAGGAAATATTTTAATATTGCTATTTGCCCTTTCTTTTAATAGAAGTGTCAGAGATGAAAGAAAATTAGTAAAATGTATATGAAAATCTTCCTCCTGTCAGAGTCAAGACCCAGAGTCAAGTCCCCGCCCACCTGCATGCACCTCAAAATTGCACAAGACCCAGACCCGGCCAGCCCCACCCCCATTGGGTGAGATCCAGACCCGGCCAGCACCACCCCCATCAAGCCCTGCGGGCAGGGGGTGCAGCCTCAGGTCCCCTGGCCCAGCGCCAGGCAGGGGGTGCAGCCTGAGGTTCCCCCATCAAGCCTTGCTGGGCGGAGGCACACCCTTAGGTCCCCTGGCCTGGTACCAGTCGGGGGCACAGCCTCAGGTTCCGAGGCCCAGCACTGGGGCAGGAGGCACAGCCTGAGGTCCCCCATCAAGTCCTGCTGGGCTGGGGGCACGGCCAGGTCCCCTGTCAAACCCCGCCGGGCAGGGGATGTGGCCTGAAGTCACCCTTCAAGCCCCGCTGGGCCAGGAGCATAGCCTCAGGTCCCTCGCCCCGGCCGTTGCCACGCAGCCTCAGGTCCCTGCTGATCGCTCCTTAAGGCTCATTACGAGAACCCTGCCTTCACTGTGGGTGCAGCCATCTTGTGATGGCATGGCGGAATGAGGGTCAATTTGCGTATTACCTATTTATTATATAGGATGAATTATATCTTTTTTTAAAATATATTTTATTGATTTTTTAAAGAGAGTAAGGGAAAGGGATAGAGAGTTAGAAACATCAATGAGAAACATCGATCAGCTGCCTCCTGCACACTCCCTACTGGGGATGTGCCCGCAACCAAGGTACATGCCCTTGACCGGAATCGAACCCGGGACCCTTCAGTCCGCAGGCTGACGCTCTATCCACTGAGCCAAACCAGTCAGGGCAGGATGAATTATACCTTAGTAAAAATATATATATGGTTTATATATTTACAGTTGTGAGTGAGCAAAGCAGTTTATTCTTGTATTAACTATTGATGAACAACTGTAAACCTACTTTTGCCCCACCCATGTATGTAGCGAGAACCAAAGGGAATAATGTAAGTGGGGGGCTTGTCAGCTGTCCAGGGCTCTACACACCTTTCTCTAAGTTCTTCCCTCGGACAAGGGAACTGAAGAACCAGGGAGGATGTGGCCCCAGGAGGGAGGGCGTGGCACAAGATGGCTGCAGGGCCAGGCGGGCTGTGAGGGGGTTGGAGCTGGACAGGTTGGAGCTGCCCCAGGCTTGCTCCTGGGTGGGGATGGAAGGCCAGAGGTTGTCTCCTGGCACCTGGGGTGCAGGAATCTCAGGCATGTGGCCCTGAGCCCAAGGTTCCAGAGATTGGTCCTCCTCCCCAGGGTTGGGAGGCTGGGTGGGGCCTAAATGCAGACATGGGGCTCTGAGCTCCAGTGGCCTCTCCCTCAGCCCTGGCCTGCCCCACACTAGTGCCCTGCCCAGGCCCCTCCCTGTGGGGGACTGGGCTGAGGGGAGGGGCTGGGTGCGTTCATATTTTCAGGTCTTTCCAGCCCTTGGCCAGCCTGGCAGCCTGACTAACCAGCTTCTCCAGGCCTAGGTGTTGGGGGAGGGGCGCGGCAGGAGGCAGCCAGCCCAGCCCCAGGCTGTGGCTGTGGTAGAAGGTGGCGGTCATGGGGCTCCCCCAGAGGCAGCCTCACTCATGGCTGCTGTGCCTCTTGGTGGCGCTGGTCTGGCCCCAGCCCTGCACGAGCCTCGGTGAGTGGGGGTCCAGGGATTGGGTGCACCTGCCCAGACCCAAGGGGCTGGGGCACCTGCTGGTGTGATTGGACCCTGGGAGCCCACATCCTCTAACTGGGAGAGGCAGCCCCAGGGCAGGGGGCCCCAGGACCCTCACACCTCTCTCCGTGGCCACAGAGCTGATCCCCTACACGCCGCAGATAACACCCGGGGACCTGGAAGGGAAGGTGACGGCCACCACATTCTCCCTGGAGCAGCCGCGCTGTGTGCTGGACGGTCATGCCAGGGCTGCCGACACGGTCTGGCTGGTGGTGGCCTTTAGCAACGGTGCGTCTCAGTGCAGGTGTGGGCCTGGGGTGAGGGGAGGGGCTGAGGAAAGCTGCGGGTCTGAGAGCCCCTCACTGCGATGTTCCACAACTGGGTGTGGATTGGGAGCTGGGCTGTATGGAGAGGGGCCTCTGAGAGGGTGACAAGCCCTGCTTTGTGTCACAGGGGCCCTCTGGGTGCTGAAGGGCCAGGGCTGCAGGCCTTGGACCCAGCCGGGGATTGTGGCGAGGAAGGCCTGTCTTCACTCGCTGACCAGCCCCATCGGTCTGTCCCTCCCTTCCACAGCCTCCAGGGACTTCCAGAACCCCAAGACACTGGCTGAGATCCCCGCTTTCCCACAGCTGCTGACCGACGGCCACTACATGACGCTGCCCCTGTCCCTGGACCAGCTGCCCTGCGAGGATCCCGTGGGTGACATCCCCGTGTTGCGGGTGGGCAACGACCCTGACTGCCTGGCTGACCTCCACCAGCCGTCCTACTGCAACACCCCCCTCCCTGGCCCCGGACCTTACAGGTGGGTCTCTCTGCCTGGAGCCTGGGATGGGGCTGGGGAGAGGAGAGGTTTCGGGGACCAGGGTTGCCCTCCCTGGCCTTTCCCCAGGCCCCATCCTGGCTGCAGGCCTCACAGGCCCTTTCCATTCACAAACCTTGGCTTCTTCCTCTGGGGTTGGGGTGGGAGGGGTGGGGGAGAGCAGCACTCATCACAGCTGTGGGGCAGGCAGAATTCCAGCTTCCGGGTGGGCCCAGGGGGAAGAGGTGGCACCAGAGCTGGTGGGGTGGGGTGGGGTGGCAGGGCTGCACTCCTGGGCCCACTGTTTCTCCCCTGGGTAGATCTGGTAGGAGAGTAAGCACGGGGCCGAGTTCAGACCCAGTCAGTGGGTATGAGCTGGGGAAGCAAAGGAAGAGGCACAGAAGCACCCAGTGGCTTGCTGAGGTCAGGTTAGAGCTGGGGTAGCAAAGCAAGTGTCCGGACGTGGGCTGCCCGGGCCACAGGATGAGGCCAGGTGTCCTCAGGGAGGCCAAGTCCAACTGGGAGAACCGTTCGCAGGCGGGCAGGGAAGGTGGTGTGCTGTGGGCTGGGCCAGCATCTCCATCTGCCTCCCTCTGCCCTCTCACCCAGCCCTGCCAGGTCCACCTCCCCCACCCAGGCCCACTCCCTGGCTTGGCCTCCATCCCTGGCAGCCACCAGAGCCAGCTTCTCTCAGTGCCAGCCTGTCTGCGTCTCTTTTTAAAAATGTTTTTGTTGATTTCAGAGAGAGGAAGGGAGAGGGAGAGAAGGCTAGAAACATCAATGATGAGAATCATTGATAGGCTGCCTCCTGCACACCCCCTACTGGGGATTGAGCCTGAAACCTGGGCATGTACTCTAACTGGGAATTGAACCATGACCTCCTGGTTCATAGGCCGACACTCAACCACTGAGTCACACTGGCTGGGCTGCACAAGCCTCTTGATGCTTAGAAACCTCCCAGAGCTCCCCAGCCCCTCAAAGACACGACCTCCTCTGCACGGCCTTGGTGCCCTCAGTGCCAGCTGCCCTTCTCTGTGATCCTGGACTCTACATGCACTCTCAACACACCCCTCCCTCTCTAGGCCTTTATCTGGGGTGCTTGCCCCTAGTGGGGGGACTTCCATGGCTTCAGAGACTCCATGGGCCAGCACTTCTCCTCTGGGAGGCCTATAGCCCCAGCCCATACTCCCCGCAGAGCCAAGGCTCACAGCCTGGCCCAGAAGAGCTGCCTTGAGTCTGGCTGTGTTGGGCGCCCGGCCTAGGGCAGTTGAGGCTCTGAGCCTCATCCCTCCTCCTCTCCCCAGGGTGAAGTTCCTCCTGATGGACCCTGAGGGCTCACCCCAGGCCGAGACCAGGTGGTCTGGCCCCATCACTCTCCACCAAGGTACGCTGGGGAGGGGGTGTCCTGGCTCCAGTCTGTCCCTTACACTCGGTGAAATGGTGCTCAACTGTCCACCCCCCGCTGCCGTGGGACTGGGTGCCCGGTGGCAGTGTTCAAATCCGGCGAACCCTCCACACAGACACCGGTGCTGGGGGTGGGGCACTGGCTCTGTCCAGCCCCACGTTTGCCACTCTTGGGTGCCCAGGCCCCAGCTCAGTCCTGGGCAGCAGCAGCCTTCCCCTCCTATGGGAGCCAGCCCGGGCCCAGCATTGCTGGGTGAGAAGGGCCAAAGCGAGGAGGGCAGTCCGTCAGGGCCACGGGTTCTGGGAGGCTTCCCTCAGCAGGGCCCCAGGAAGCCAGCAGGAGTCACCAGGCCGAGGACACTGCTTGTGTGAAGACCAGATGTCCGGTGTGCGCGATGCCTGGGAGATGGGCTGCAGGAGCCGGGGATGGGGCAGGCGCTTGTTGTATGCCAGGCTCCAGGGAGCAGGGCAGCCACACGGTCAGTCTTCAGGTCTGCCGCTGCTGGGTGTGCCAGGGGCGGGCACATTGGTGGGAACAGCCTAGCAGGTGAGGCTAGGATGGAGGCTGGAGCGATGGGTGGTCCAGGCTACAGGGCACAGATGCCCTCTGAGATGGACAGATGTCTGTGGAGGAGAGAGCCCAGCCGTGGTATGAGCCTGGGTGAGGGCGACTGCCCTGGGGTCCGAGGGCAGCCTCTGAGCACCGCTGTGTGTGCAGGGAAGTCTCCAGGCTCCATCGACACATGGCCGGGGCGGCGGAGCGGAGACATGATCGTTATCACCTCCATCCTCTCTTCTCTGGCCGGCCTCCTGCTCCTGGCCTTCCTGGCTGCCTCCACTGTGCGCTTGTGAGTGGTGACACTCCCGGGGCCCCTTCCCACCTGGAATCCCTCCCCTGTCCCTGCCCCCTGAGCCGGGAAAACCTCCCTGACCCTGTGGTTTTGAGCTTGGAAGTCTCCCTGGAAGGGCTGTGCAGAGAATTCCTACCTGAGTCTCTGAGTTCAGAGGCAGCAGAAGGAGGGATGTGGGAGTGGGGAGGAGGCCCTGAAGTGGCAGCCAGCCTCACCCAGCAGTGACACGGCTGCTCCTCCTCTCCCTGTCCAGCTCCAGCCTGTGGTGGCCTGAGGAGGTCCCTGAGCAGCTTCGGATTGGCTCCTTCATGGCAAGCGCT